GCCTATGTTTAAAAATCCAAGACTGACTTTACGCTTGTTCAAGCCATTCCCTTAAGGAGCAACCGCAATGTAAAGACTAGAGCTCACCTGCACTTAAATTCCTCCCAAATCCTTTAATGGCATAATCAGTGCTGGCAAATGCTTCCTAGACAAGGAGAGCCTGGAGTTCATTTTAGTGTGTGGGTCCCCACAAAGACATAAAGCTCATCAGCTTTTGTACAAATTAAGTTTGTGGTCAGAGGCAAAAAACATCGGTGAATATCCAAGACAGGCTGCCTTTATTCTCATCATATATTTAGCCCATGGAAAAATAGAATATGGAATGGAATGGAATGCTATTTAAGTGAACAGATGTCAGGGAGCTTTTAGGATGATGAAGAGAACTGGTTGCTTCAAAGCAGCGATGGGCAGTGGCTGTACAGTGACAGCATTGTGAACAAAATGGTTTTCTTCATCCCCTCTATCAAAGCTGTAATGTTATGTGTCAGTCACCTCATCAGGAGGTGCAGGACAGTAGATGCATTAGCAGAGGAAGGAATCAATTCAGTCAATAGAGGAATTGATACCTGTCTATAGTTAGAAAACACCTTTTACAGAACAAGCTGTTCTCCTGGATCACTGAGAAAGAAAAGAATTCTATTGAGTTTCTAAATACACAGATACATATATAATTAATATTGTCTAACTGCCAGACATTAAGAGTGTTGTTCCCTTCTTTTATTCTTTCCTTCTCAAGAGTGCATCTAACAGCTATGGGGAAAAGAACAGACATGTCAAAGAGTTATGAATTCTCTGTATGCTGAGCAGAGTGCTGGTATACAAAGCTTAAAGCAGTGAATATAGAGACTGCTCACTCACAGAAGCTATTGAGCAGGAAAACAGGATTCAGTCTTCTCTTTCTGACCCACTGGTGGGTGGGCAGGACAGTGGCTTTCTTGCTTCTCCATCCATAAACTGCAAATACTATTCATCCACATTCCCAATACCCAACGAAATACTGGGCAAAAAGGCCTCACACACGCAGAAGGAGTAACTAGGACATTCCTGGGGAGAGACAGGGCAGTGTCAGCAGAGTCTCGCTGGCCTGGAAGACTGGCTGTCTTCAGAGCAATCTTCACAAGACAGGCCCGGAGGACAGGCCAAGGGGAATGGCTTTAACCTGCCAGAGGGGAGACCGAGATGAGCTCTTAGGCAGAAGCTCTTCCCTGTGAGGGTGCTGAGGCGCTGGCACAGGGTGCTCAGAGAAGCTATGGCTGCCCCATCCCTGGCAGTGTTCAAGGTCAGGTTGGACACAGAGGTTGGAGCAAGCTGCTCTAGTGGAAGGTGTCCTTGCCCACGGCAGGGGGTTGGAGCTGGATGAGCTTTAAGGTTGCTTCCAACCCAAACCTTTCTGTGATTCTATGATTCCAATTGTCCGTGCATCTTGCACTGTGGTTCATATTGCTCAAAAAACCCACACTAGTAGATTCCTTTCGGACCAAGTCAACCAAAAGATGCATCCCAGCCGTCACTGGGAGGCTGGTCCTCAGGACTACAGGGCTGGTCTAAAAGCAAAACCCTTGAAACATGCAGATCAAACACGAGGTTGTTGCACTGGGCTCGCCTCTCCAGTCTGCCACCACCGCTAATGGAGATGCAGGTAAAGCCTCCAAGTTCAGACCAAGGGCACTGTGGAGGGCATCCAGCAGGTGGCAATCTGCTGATAGCAGTGACAGCCAAGGGCGAACAGGAGGTCCTGCTTCTGGCACAGGGCTCAAGGTCAAGAGTGTGGGAAGAGGAAGACAGTGCAGGGAGAAAGAATGGTTAAGCTTTATGTTATATACTCATTTTTCTGGGTTTGAGAAGTTCAAACAAAGCAGGCACCAACTGTGCAGAAAGACTTACTTGGTGTCATGGATATTATCTTAATGGTGTAAAAGCACACAATCACAATGGAACATCTAACTTTCACTTCATTTTCACTAACTTTCACCTATTCCTTGAGAAATGTTTGAAGATGGGATTTACAGGGTGAGGCAGACTTAGTGCTATTATTCCAAGTAACAAATAATGAACTATGAGCCTTTTGTAACCACTAACGTCATCAAGAAGTGAAAATGTTGACAAGCAGCTGTGTGTAATGCTTTGAGAGTATCCATTAAAACAGCAAAACAAAATGACCAGCAGACATAATCTATACTATCAATACTACAGGTTCTTCCTTACCCCTTCTCCTTGCCTCAAAGTTAATTAGAAAAGATGTGGTTGTCACAGACCAGACAGGAGCATGACTCCATATAGAAGGGATCAATGACTCCACACAGAAGGGATGAGTGGCTCCATATAGAACTGAATATAGCCATTTCTGCTTAGAGTTCCCTGTCACGAAACACTCTCTAATGTACACTGACAACAGGCACAGGAAATTAAAAGAGAAGGCACAATCCTCTACATCTGAAAGACAAAAGATTCACCTTAGAAAATCAGACTTCTTCATTCTCTTGGTCTAGAGATATCTCATGTTCGCATCTTTTGAGTTCAGCTTCCAGTTCCACAGCCCTTTTCTGCATGTGGTCTCTCTTGCATTGCTGCTTCAGATCCTCTTTGCAGTTTGGACAGTGAACCATGAAGTGCTTCATCTGTGGGTCTTTTTAAGGGGACCTTTGAAGTGGGCAACTAACTTGGATTTGGTTTCCAGTTAGTCTCCCTAGTACTACCAGAAGTAAAACTTCTAAACACTGAACTTTACAGATATACACCTTTTTCTCTACAAAGCATTCCTAGAGTAACAGGGGAAAAAAGTCCAACAATCTTTTCCCTTTATAAGGAAACAGACTTGGAAGCTGCGTAGCTCCTGTGGTGCACGGGTTCATAATCTATCCATCAAATCCATTGGTGCATTGGATTTTAATTGGGAACAAAAATCATGTCAGGGTTTCTAAAGCATTTAGGTGGCTTGTAGTCTGCAATCACCTATATGCTTTTGAAAACTGCTCTCCAGCCTTCCTAACCTTCCACTAACATCTGCTCACCCAGAAGTAGGCGCGTGTGTGTAACTGTACTCATTTCAGCATGTCCTCAACACGATCCCTGCACCATTACACTATGGGTAACCCTTCTGAGATCTTGGGCAAAAAATAAAAGCTTTAGTCCATAAGGCAGGGAGTGAATTTTCCCCTTCAGGCAACTCAAATGTTCAAAATGCCTCCCTCATGACTGGGCATTTCTTACAGCCACATATGTCTCTGCATCTCAAAACACATTAGAGAACATGGTCAAAGGTCTCCTGAAACCAGCTCACAGAGGTGTAAGTACTTCTCCGTTCTCTGCCTGCTGATCCCTCTATCAACTTGCCAGCATATTCCATATCAACAGATGACAGGTAGAAGAGCAAAAGAGGAAAATAACTCTCAATTTTTGAAGAGAAGGTGAGGGAAGCAGCAGGATTTTTGTAACAGATGCAGAGAGGCCATAGAAGCAAAGCAAACCAAAATGAAGAAGCATCAGCAGAATGAAGTTGACTTCTTATGCAGTCTTGTTTCTTGTGACTAGCAAACAGCCTCAGATTTATTTGGTCTTACAGAGCTTTTATAGATTTCAGTTTGTACCAGTAAAAGTCAGAAGCATGAAATTAATAGAATTACACTCTTCAAATGTAGCCCGAGCAGCATGTGAGTGCATGTCCCTGCTTGCTATTTCTCGGAAGAACACGAAGCATATTTACCAGCCACAATTCCATTACAATTAGTTTAATGGAAAAAACTTTGGCTTTACCTTTCTTTCAATCTTCACCTTCCCTTTTGATCTTTGGATTTTCAAGTAACCTCTTTTTGTCTCCCTTAGATTCTTCTGAGCAGAAAGTGCACAGTTTGCCTTCAATTAGAACAGAAATAGCAGAAGATCAATAAAGATTTTCATCAGAAGGAGAATAATAAATCCAATGTGTCTCATGGAACCATAATTTATACTCTCCACAGAGATGATTTTCTACTGATAAATGATCTAAAAGATCTTTTCCAACCTAAACAATTCGATGATTCTGTGATTTAAGGGCTTTAACTGATATTTAACATTTAGCCTCCAACCCAGGATGAGAAATACCCAGTACTACTTCCAGTTTCTGCGTTCAATCTAGTCACACTTCTTGCAACATACAGGGGAAGGAGAACATGTTATGCCTAGTTCAACATTATGCAACTACAATAACCTTTCTCTCATCTTCAAACCCTTAAATAGCAAACTGTTACTTACTAGCTATAGGGCAATTAAAGGATGAGACTGGGAGAGGAGAAAGCATCATCTCAAAATAGCACTTAGGTGAGAAAGCAAACTCCGCAGAGCTATAGAGAAAAGGAAGGATGCTAAGAGTCCTTCTGGCACACCATTTTTTACCTTGCTGATGGCTCTATCTGTTCTTTAAATCAACAGTGAGTTATTGATTGTGTCACAAATAGCAAACTCCCCTAGAACAGAGGGTTTGAGTAATTGTCCATGGGAGTTAACAATGCTGATGATTGGTTCTATTCATGTTTTCCCATGGAGCAGCCTCTGATTTTTGCCACCTTTATCTATGCTTAATACAAGGTAAAAAATAGTAGCTTTAACTGGATGGAATCACGTGAAAGCTGTAACCAACAGCAGAGACTCCAAGGCTGCCCTTTTGCAAACTCAGGAAGAAACTCCATCATATGCTTGCATATTGCCTATATTTGTCCACATGAGAAATACCCACCTAACTCACTTTTCACTTGTGATGTTTTACAATTAGGAATAAAAGCAGCAGGGGTTAGAGGAAGTCAGGAGGAGTATTCATTTAAACTTAACTCATTTAGATCTACTCTGAATGAAATATTTTAGATTCCATGGAAGTTGAGTGGACACCTGGAAAGCCACCTGTCTACCATGAATATATGAGTTTTCATAACCTGCTGCAAAGGCATTGCCAGAAACAGGAAAAAACTACCCACATTATACCTGATGAGCACTGTCTTCATTTAGGGAGCTCTTCATAGTTTGAAGTTTGATCCATCTCACTGCAGAGACTGCTTCTTGTACTCAAAAGAGATGATAAAAAGCAGTTTCCAGGGGAGCTGAGAATATAAAAGATGTAAGTTTTGATACTGAAAAGACTGTTCAACAGCATTTTAGGGAATAGAGAGCAAGGCACTTGCATTTTTTGCATACCCCTTCCAAGCGTTTGTCTAGAGGTTCACCCATATTAGGGAAAAGCAATGGCTGCAGTAATGCTCACAACATAAAACATTAGGATTAGCACACTAAGGGAATCATTTTGGAGCTGGGAATGCTAAAGTGGAGAAGTATGATTTATATTATTATTAGCACTCAGTAGCAAAGTGTCAGCCAGCCCAAGAAAAGGAGCACTTCTTCAGAGAACAAACCAAGTGGTTTGCCATGATCTTCAGTGGATCATCATCCAAGAACCAACTTCTGCTTCCTTAAATAAGATAGCCCAGAAGGTCTTGTACTTGTGACAGTGCCCTGAGTGGGACTGGGCTCCTGCTCACTTCTGTCCAGAAAAGATGCCAAATTACATTATATTTCTGGACTCTGAATCCAAATTGTCATTGCTGTATGGGAAAGGTTTGCGTGTGACAAACTTACCATGATGAATTGCATCTACATAGCAGAAGTACCTCATGACCACTGAGCCTGAAGCTGTGCTGGGAACTATATAGTGTAAAAACAGATCCCAAGAGTTTATAATCCAAGAAATTAAGGCAGAAAAAAATAGATTCTTATTACAAATAAGCCTTATAGGCACAGTATAACAGATTTTAATAAGAACTTATCCATTATTCCACACTGATTTTATCAGTGGTTTTACCTTCTGATCCAGAGAAATACTGCAGTGTGACTAATTCCTCCCAGGGAAGAAGAAAAGGAATTAAGAACAGCACCTTTTAATAGGAACAGTACCTCTTAATCAGAGTTTATTAAAAGTCTTGCTATTCCAAAGTCCAGATACAAAATATACCTGCAGCAACATAGTTTTCAATAAACAAATAGGCATTTTTAAGGCTTCCTTAAATAGATTTTAAGAATACATCCTTGAGGCCAGCAGTATCAAACCCTGTACCAAACTCTGAGGGGTACACTTCTGTGCTTGTAAATCTGAGTTAATTTTCTCTTCAGCTGTCTGGCTTCAAAGACCTACGTGCAATTTAGTCCTTCGATGTGAAATTAAGGAATATGAATAGTTAAAATGAAGGATACATTACGTACAGTTCTGCAATCAAGGAGGAAATCAATGCACCTAATGTCTATAACATAATGTAAAGGATTTCTACAGTCACAAGTGGAAAGCTTGGTATTTCCTGGAATAAAAATTCCCCATAATGTCAAGTTTGTACCTTCAATAAGAGAATAAAAAGTGTCCAGACCAAACGGAATCAATAACCATGCTGGCAAAAACCACCCCAAGTATTAGGTGTTCAGAAGGCACAGAGACATATCGATGATAAAAAGTGATGAGTTTATGTCACTTAAAGTGACAAGGAAGTGTGATAATAAAAGACTTTCCAGCAGTAAAGATGGATGCGATCCCCCAAAGCACACTGAAAAGAAGATAGAAATACGTTCTTTGCACTTTTAATAGCTCAGCTCAGGGAAAGTAGATTGAAAGCAGGGTGGAGGGAATAGAACTAAGTAGAGATCACAGATAAACAATGAAAGTAAAGAAAAACATGTTTCTAAATTAAGGGAAAACCTTCAAATCCCACATGACTATCTATATGGATAATGGCAGTAAGTGGGACAAAGGCCAGAGAGGGAACATATACCGTGCCCCAGGTAGACACAAAACCTAAAGATCTTACATGCTTTTAAAAGCAAGCGCTAGGCAATCTCCATCCCAGGCTTCTAGAACTGACACATGAAGTTACAGATCCAGGAGTAAACAGTGACAATAACTGGGAGGTAGTATAACATGATGAGAGCTGCAAATTACTGCATCTATATTTAAGCAGCAAAGGAGAACATGACAGAGTCAACTGTGGGCCTGTAAACCTAGCCTTGACGACATGCAAAGTTTAAAGGTATAGCTATAGATACACACTTTCGTAAAAATCAAAGATACAAAGTTTAGCAAGAAAAATGAGATCTAATGCAGCACATTTGTAAAAAACAGACATTTGTCTTAGATTAGATCCATTTTATTACCTATATTTAGAACAACCACTTTTCTTATTAGTCTGGATTTAAGAAAAGTACTTCATGTGAGGAGTTAGTTAAAAAGGAGATAAGAATACTATTGTATTGTACACCAAGCCAGGGAAGAGACAACATAGGAAGCATTAGGCTAAGGGAAGGTTGAAAGTGGTTTCATTTCATAACCTTTCAAATAAATAGAGGCAAGAGGGTGGAAAGAAAAGAGTGCAAACGGCACAGGTCCGGGAAGAGCCCAGAGCTAGAAGACAGCAGCTTTTAGATTTGCTATGGAGTTGCCCAATATCACACAACCATTTAAGAATAAAGGAACAAAACAAAAGAAGAAAACACAATTCCCTGTCCCTTTTAAGTGAGACGACCTGTCAGGTTTTTAACAGCATGTAGATGCCTAACTTCCACACCCTCAAAACACAAAGTGTAACCATTTACAAAGCAGCCATGGGGCCAACACTCCTATTACCTCTATGAAAGCAGATGTTTAAAAGGCTGCAAATATGCCTTACAGGCCACTGGTTATTAGGAGGTACAAGTATTTCCTGTATTTTTCATGTATTCAATCTGAACACATGGGAGCCTGAAGGCCAGTGTTCTTAGACACTGCAATGCAATAAGTTCAGCGAAAATCCTGCCCCTAGAACTGAAATAGGAGTCAGTGCTTCTGAAGTCCTACCCAGCTTTAATGTGATAGTGTTAAAGTACATAATTAAAGAGTTCTGTCCAACAGCTGAGATTCCTGTTTTAAACAGCATCACAGACAAAATAAGATTTCAGTATTAATAGCAATTACTGCTTTTCTGGAAGGATGGAGTGTTAAAACACACACACCAAACTGGCATTTCAAAGTGCCACGAGAAGATTTTACATCATTACTACAGCCCATCTGCTAAACACAGAGCAACAGATGATGAGCACAGATCACTCCTAACTTCAGGAAACTTCTCCCAACGTTCCTGTATGTTACAGGTTAATCAGGTGACACGCATTACAAACTAGCAGAGGTGAAACGAGGTTAAACCCATGACGATTGATGTAACGTCCTCATTTAGAGCAATTTATTCTTTTCATTACAATTATATTTGTAGATGCTGAAAGTCCAGACTAGGGCAGGTACTCACATAAGTCAATACACTAAGAAAGTAGGGTATTTTTGCAGAGATAAGAAAGAACATATGGTCCTTCTTGCCAGCTAAGGGTCCCTTTTAAAACAATTTCCCTCAATCTGATTTGCTTTACAATTACACTAAATCCTGCCATGATTTCTCTCGCAGAATTTGGCTTTCCTCAAGGAGGTGTTTTTCCTTCCCCTGGTTTCTGCCTTCATTATTGATTTTTAGAAAATCCTTGAGTTACTAGAGAAAGGTTTTGGCAAGTTTCCCTCGAGGCCTGCAGATGCCTCTTACCCTTATCAATAGAGCATCCTTTCACCCCCTTAGCTACCATCCTCAGTTACTGTTTGACTATGCATGTATTCTGCTCAGGGACCAGCAGGGAGAACATTCAATATCCTCTCTCTGACAAACAAGAAAGGCAACAGCTGCTGGGCCTCAGCAGAGGGGCTGCTCAGGGAACCTGTCCCAGAGAGAAGTCTGCCTGGACCCACTGCAGAGAACTAAGGAAGTCCCCTCCCCATGGCAAAACGTGAGAGGAGGAATTTGGACCATTTTGTCCTCTCCTTACTGGAAGGAGATTATTTGAAAACCCCTTTTAACCACTGCAGAACTGCAATCAAAAAAGTGCTTTCATTGACATCTCTGACACAGAGAGGTCATGTCAGAGAAGGGGGGTGCTTTTGTTAGAGAAATAAGACTAAATATTCTGTTAACTCATAGAAATCACAGCCCTGAAGACAGGGCTTCTGCTTTCTGAGAACTGACTGATGGGCTGAATTGAGAAGAGAAGCTTAAAGGAGCTTGTTAGAGCTATCAGTGTGAAATTCAGAGCTAATACCTGGCAAGGGCTGCCTGGCTTGTGTGGGGCTTGGCCATGGATGTTGCTCCAGCAACTGGGAGATCCAGGGGTACTTACTACAGGGGGTTGCTATGTGACCATCACTGCCAACTTTGTTAGGTGAGAACAACCTAATAAAACAAGTTAAATAACTTGGTTTAGTGTTTGCTGGTGGCTTTTTTCTTTTATTTCAGGTTTTCTTTGTGCGTTGTTTTGGGGTTTTCTTCCCCCCTTTTTTGTTTGTTTGAGAAAAACATCAAGTCTGGATTTTATTTCATTTTTAAGACAAAGAAGGAAGAATTGAATTATAGCCCCCAAATTTTCCTCCAAGTGAATGCCAAATCTCAGAAAACACAAAGCAAATACAAGGATGCCAAGGCCCATTAAACAGAATTCAAACATCTTCCCTTTTCTGGGAGGGGGGCTGGCAGTCATTGCCAGTGCAGTGTTAGGAGTGGCAGTCCTAACATTGGCATGTCAGGAAAATGGGGTATATACACTTCACAGTGAAGACAGGGAGAGAGACTGAGCGGCTACAGAGCTCCTTTGAAAAAGGAGTTGTGCCTTATCTCCCAAACTGGGTAACACAGCTCCCTTTAAAAGGAGCTGCGCTCCCCTTAGGCTCCAATTGCTCCAGCTGCCACTCAGGGAAAGGGACAGAAATGCTGAGGGTTAAAAGCTGCCCCCCTCCCTCCCTCCATCCCAAGCAATCAGGAGATGAGATGACACAAACTCAGACGATGGCCCTAAGCCAGCCCCTTAAAAGGAAGCCAGGAGTGTTTAAGGAAGATCGCTGGAGCTGGGATCTGGCTGGGGCCCATCTCTCCCCGACAGCAGCCGCTGCAGTCCCAGGGCTGCAGGAGCTGCTCTGCACTGCAGGGAAAAGGGAATGCCGGGCTGTTCTCATGCTGGGCGGATCTAACACTTTCTACCAGTCATTTTGCTGGCTCTGTTCTTGTCCCAGCTTGCTCAGGTTCAGCAAGGCCGGGACAGAGCTAGATTGGAGCTGAGCAAATAAATACCCTTGCAATGCAGAGCTCCTTTGTTCCAAGAGGAGGAAAACTGCTGGTTTTCCACTAGTAGCGGTACACCCAAGTGTGGGCTGCTATATGTCTGATCATGACTAATTAGAGTTGAGTGTAATGGAAAGTGGAAGCCTTTTGTTTTGGGGCTGATTGATTTATGATCATTAAATAGGTGCTAGTCACATAGAATCACAGAATAGTTTGGGTTGGAAAGGACCTTAAGATCATCCAGTTCCAACCCCCCTGCCATGGGCAGGGATGCCTCACACTAGACCATGTCACCCAAGGTTTTGCCCCCTTCCTGCACAGAAACTCACTGTATGACAAACTCACATTACTCAATTGTTACTACAACTGCATACAGTTACCTGGCAATAAGCATGTGGAAGTGGCCAAGGGCTCAGCAGAAGAACCTGAACTAGCTGGTTGCTGGGATGCTGTCACAAGTGATTGAGCCAGCTGAGATCAGTGGAATTCCGATTGCTGCTTCTCTGTGGATTCACATGAAAAAAGGGAATAAAGAAAGTAAACCACAGAAAACAACCCAAACCAAAGCCAAAAAGAAAAGGAAATCAAGCAGGCATTTCCCCCCATACTAAAAGTCTTTGTTAAATTGTATTTCAACAATTGAGCATTTCAAGCAATTGAAACAACAAAACAATCACTGGTGCATGGAGATGTGTTTGACTAAATCAAGTGGAGTTTTCTACCCAAGATACAAACCTCTGGCACCCTGGGGATCACAAACAGAAGGCTGACAGATTTAACTCTTGCAGCACAAGCGGTTTTCCTGGAACATGATACCAATAGGACTGAAACCTGATCACAGTGTGACTTTCATACTCTAGAATGTGAATCCCGTTACTACCACAGACACTCTCAACACCAGTACTTAAAGTGACAATTCGTTTCTATAGCAGATCTGTTAAAAAAGTCTCCTATGCGAAGAGGCTCTTGGTTTATTTATAGGCAAACCAGCTGTTTTCGGCATTCCATGATTTAGGCTGAGGTCTGCTCTGAGTCCTGCATGTACCGAGAGAGCCTGGTACAGAGTTACCTTGTGTGGAAGCAAACTGTGTTGCTCCTTTCCAAAGCAGTGAACAGCATCTCTGTCACTGCAGACTGGCACCTCCTATGGAACACAGCTTTACTGGGGATTGGCTTTAACCACAAGAAGAGCAATAGTTTTTGATGGTGGTGGCAGACTAAGCCAGGTCTGGAACTCTGTTTTCCAACATGAACTAACCCGAGTGAAGAGGGAGCTCTCACAGCAGCTTTCCTCCCAGTTGCCCTCCTGAAATGCTCAATTAATATATAACAAGCAAATAACAGCCTCCAATCAAATCAGCCCATTCATCTGGATAAGAAGATAGGTTCCTGATCCACACACTGAAATGATTCTGCTTCTATCACCCATGTACCCAAATGCAGTACTTTTCTACTACTGCTCACTTTCACCTATGCTATTACATTGTTAGGTGCAGCACATCCTGCTGTACATCTGCCACTTTATAACTTAAATATAAACTATTCCATACTTTTGTTAGTTGATTACATGAATATGTATCAGTATAAATAGGCAACCCCCCCCCATGTTGTTGCATATATAAGTCCCTCCTTTGTAAAGATCCACAGGTGATGATTACTTTTTCATGTTACCTATATTTGTTCTGAAGGGATAATATTCATTGTGACTAGAAGTTTCCAGCTCTGTCTAAACATTCATTCCTACATGGATTCACTCTCTTAAAACATAGCACTGAAACAGCCCACACTTCAGCCTCTTACATTTTTAAGTTAATATCCTTTTAGATGAGTTTTTGCATCATTTATTTAGATTCATTATTGCTTTTTTCTCTTAAAAGCCACTTCATTTAACGTAGCTACCCCTTAATTTATATTAGGAGGTATGTCCTGTTCTGGCATCATTATCAACATTACCAGCAGCAGCCAATATTTGCAATCCCATGCTGGAGGAGAAATCAATGCCATTCTTACATTGCTTTGCTTTATACGCATACAGACAACAGAGAGTCAAATAAACATAAGCAAGCAATTCCTTCTCCCAGGAATTCCAGTCTCATACCTTTGCCTGGTTCCCAAGGGCCAAATGTCAATCAAGAACAGAGTCAACACTGAGACAGAACAAGACTTCCTCCTCCTAACAGAATTTCAGACTGAACCTCTGAGTTATGAATCATGGAATGGTTTGGGTTGGAAGGGACGAAATAATCCCAAATGAACGGTCAGCACAAAACATCTTCCCAACAGAGGACTTTTACACAAATACTATATAAAAGAATTAAAGACTGGTTTCTGGTCATCACGATTTGGGCTCTCCAAAAACACTTGCAATACTCATCGATCCAGTTAAATCTTCCCTGAGTTTACAGGGGCACATAAAACACGTGCAAAGAACCACAGAATGATACATGCACACACTCTGGTATTAACATGGATTTAAACAATCAGTTTAATGAAACCAGGCAAGTTTAAGCACAGACAAGCCCTGCAGTGTGTTTCTACTGAACACATGTTAGAAAAAGACTTGGGGAGGGGGGGGAGCCCACTGAGTTTTAACTCTTTTTTTCCCCCTTCATTGGCCAAACACACTCATCCTGCTGCTGAGATGGTGTGTTTTGTGCTGAGCCATTCAAATATTGCACAGTAGCTGTTGAACGGGTTTGCTGTAGGCGTTTTCCTATGACATGTAGTAGCTTCCTACATGTATCCTTCACTACTACTCATGGCCTTCTTGCTTTGAGAGCCAGCAGGTGCTTTAACTACTGGCTGAGCTAAGCCTGTATTGAGCCGAACTGTAGACTGAAGCAGTCCCCAGTTGGCTCCAGAACTGATAGAACAGGCATACAACTGACAGCCAGACTTTCACAGCCCTCCCCTTATGTTCTGAGTGAACATAAACCATGTGAAGTGTAGAATATGGCCCCAAGGTTTGTAAACCACAGCCTAATCACATGTAGTATATCCAAATGGGAGCTCTGTGTGTCGTTGCCTTCTCTTTGCTTTCTCAAAAGCTGTAACCAACTACTTGGCTCTATTTTCATGCAAGGCTGCCAGTTTCTATAAAGGGACTCAAAACCTGGCAATCAGCATGCAGAATTCTGGTTGCAATATCTCTGCTTTGCTGTCTGGTTTTGTAGACACTCATTTCAACTGCTTGCAAGCCAAGGGTATTTTCCTTCGGTTAGCTATTCCATCTTAAACTGTATATAAGATAAATGCCTTCAGAAAAGATTCCAGCTATCCCTTAGGTGATTTGTACAACATGAAAGAGACTTAAAAAGAGAGTTTTTCTCTCTGTCATTGCCAGATTTGCAAGTCAGTATTCTGCACACAGAAAACATGCTAATTTATTCAGTTCTCTTATCTTCCTCCTTTCACTCGGCTGATGCACGGCATGCCAAGTTCACAGTGCTTCCCTAATGATGCACTGCTGCTCACTTACTCTTCCAAAGGGAACATTCTCCACGTCTATTTAGCAAGATGGCTTTTAAAAATAGGAACACAAAATCTAGTGCTAAGATCAGGATAATTATGGGGGATAGAGCAGGTGCAAGTGTTCTCTTACGCAGCATTTTCTGATGATACGACAAAGAAAAAGTTTACTTGCCAAGGGCCCAGAGGAAGTTTTCAGTGTACTTCTGTCGTACAGCTTGTGAGAACGATAGCAAACAGCCTCCTGTAAACAGGCACGGCCAAGTAAGTGGAAGTGTAATTTCTGAGTGATGCTCGTCTGTTTGATAACATCTTCACTCCAAAATCCACCAGGCTCCTGTCAGATAACAACTGAGATTTGCATCACAGAGCTCATGGCCTGAATTCAGAGCATTTAGGCTCCTAATTTCTCCCAGGTCTAGAAGTCAGGACCTTAATTCCTTCCTGAGGCTGTTGCTACAAGATCTTCAAAAGCTACTGCTTCAGTCACTACCTGAAGGGAACAGCCAGCCAGGAGCAAAGCCACAAGCTTCTCTTTGGTATGACATAGCATAGGAGGGACTAAGAGTTCCCGTGATGGATCTACCACTCAAAGGGGACCTTTCACCACTTTACACTTGCCCGTGAGGTCTGTAAATTCACCTCAGTGGTTTCTGGATATGGCAACCAAAATCCCCTTCATCCTCTGAGTACTAGGAAATGTTTTTTATTCCATTTCAAAAGGCCAAATTATACCAGACAAGACTGAGCTTTCTGAAGAGGCCCAGAAAGGTGCCTGTGCCTCCTTAGCTGCACATTGTCCCCAGATTTCCCACTTTAATCCATCTCCTGCTGTTACAGGATCCCCAGTTGAAGACAGGAAATTTAAAGACAGCAGAAGTGTGACAAGTGGGAATAAATTCAGAGAAAACACACCTCAATTTAATCTGTGATGTACTGAAATCTGGAGTGGGGACCAGACACATAACCTTGCATGCATACATAGCTCTGTACTTTGATGGCATGATGATTCCAGAAGTCAGCTCACAGTGTTTATATGCTAAAATATCATGTATGAGAAATGTGTTACTGTTTAATTTGCATTTTTTCCCTCTTCCCTGGTGCTGAATACATAAGAGAGGTTTGAAGATCAGCTTTCATTTAATGTCCCATCACAGGAATTTTGCCATATTACTGAATTCAACACATTAATGGGGTGGTTGGTTGGTCCTGTCGAATCGCCCCAAAGTCGGTCTAAGGACTGAGGTTAGATATAAGGAAGAAGTTCTTTACTGTGAGGGTGCTGAGGCACTGGTACAGGGTGCCCAGAGAAGCTGTGGCTGACCCATCCCTGGCAGTGTTCAGGGGGCTTGGATCAACCTGCTCTAGTGGAAGGTGACCCTGCTCATGACAGGGGGTTGGAACTGGATGAGCTTTAAGGTCCCTTCCAACCCAAACCAGTCTGTGACTCTACGTGTGTTTTATGCAGGAACAGACACAGGTTTTTGACATAAGACAGGGATGCAACCTCTGCTTTTAATGAAAAGACAGGATCCAGTTTTATATTTAAGTTCTGGCCATTTGGTGAGTATACCAGATCCATCAGAATCCTATCTGTTTCAATCCGGACAGGATTTCTGTCATATGCACCATCTGTGATCAGATACCCCTGCAACTCCTTTCCAATGCTGTAAAGCTGTAGCTCAACAAGCCATGCTTAAACCTCTCCACTTCCAAGTGATGCTCTCTTGACTGGGTAACTAGATGATCTTAAGGTCCTTTCCAACCCTAACCATTCTGTGATTCTAACTCCATGCCATTCATCTTTCTCAGTCAGGAAAAACTCTGTCTTTGCTACAGCAAGATGCAATCCAGCCCTAGCTGTATGCTAGTCTTTGTGCTGGCTGTACTGCTCACCTGATATCCCTCCAGGGACCTAGTTCAGGAAACTAAATGATCAGAAACAAGTGCCACAAGAATCTTGCTTTCAGTTAGCTCGCTAAATTGTCCCATTCTTCTTCCAGAGCTAGCATGAGGCAGGGGATGAGCTCTTTCA